TCAGGTATATAATCCTCAAAACTGAAAACAGTCATTCAAACAAAAACTCATACACTACTATTCATAGTAGAACTAATCACAATAATGAAAAGGTAGAAAGAACCTAAAAGTCTATCAAGTGATAAACACATAAACAAAATACGGTGAACTATTATAGAACCATAGAAAGGAATTAAGTACTCCAACATGCTACAATGTGGATGAACCTTGAAACATTAGGCTAAGTGAAAGAAGTCAGACACAAAAGACCACATATTGTATGAGTCCATTTACATGAAATATCCAGAGTAGGTAAGTCCTCAGAGATAGGAAGCAGATTAGTGGTTGCCAGGAGCTGAGGGGAGGGAAGAATGGGAATGATACTTTTAGGATGATGAAATTATTTCAGAATTAGACAGAAGTGGAGGTTGTACAACCTTGAGAATATTCTAAATGCCCACTGAACTGCATGCTTTAAAATGGATATTTTCATGTTACATGAATTTTATCTTAAAGAATAAATTATAGGCTGAATGTTCCTTAACTCCCTGGCTCCCTCTCCAATCTCGGAGAGGTGGATCTACCCTCTTTCTCTGATCTACTTTCTAAATAAACTTTTCCTTTTAACTAAAAAAAAAAAAAAATCAATTATAAAGAAAACTAGAAGGAAAAAAAATCAGACTCTTCTTTTAAAAGTCTTTTTTTTTTTTTTTTTTAACCACAGGAAGAAAGTAATTATTTATGCTTGCAAACAAACACTTTCTAATTTGGATGTACAGTTCTTTGTCATTCTCCTACATGACATTATTTCCCTAAGCCTCACCTAGAGTGCTTACATAACACAGATTCCTACATTGCAGCTGAGATCTGTTAAGTCAGCAACTTCAAAAGGAATCTATCCTAAGTAATTCTTAGCATCAGACAGGTTGACTACTATTTAGCACCGTTATCTTCACTGATAAAAAGAGAAAGTTTTAGCAATATCAAGGGTGACAGGTAAAAGACAATACCAATAATCAAACAGAAAAGTTAATGATCTCTTAGGACTTTAATCACTAATGTGAAATCTTGACTAATGCCTTCTGGATAAGGAGGACAATCCTTGAAATTACATTCAGTTCTCACCCAATAAAAGGACAAAAAGTTCTAAGAAGCACACATTTTTGAGAAAGCACAATTTTTGAAAATTATCTTGAAACACTGGTCAAAATGTAAATTGGTACAACCCTTCTGGGGAGAAATTTTGCAAAACATAGTATTAAAACTTAAAATGTGCATTATCTTTGATCTCTTCATTTTACCAATAGAAATTTAAACCAAGGAGATAACTGGAAGGGACGTTTGTATTTGGATGTTATCACAATACTGATTAAAACAATGAAAATGAAATAACCAGATGTTTGGAGGCTGGGTAAACAAGTCACAGCACAGATACACAAGGAAGTACCCCAGGTGTTGCTATAGACACTATCTTTCATCTCCTTTTAAACATTTCTTAAAAGAGACACATATTATATATTTCCTCACCTCCCACTCTATATTCTGGTTTCTATTATTTCTTTCACTTAATAAAAGGAACAAATCATTTCCATGTTGCTAAGGCTGTTAACCAATTCACTGTGCTTATCAGAGCCCTTCACAGTTGTGACTTCCTCGACTTTCTTGTTTTCTGTCTAGCTACACCTTCTCTGTCTTTATTTTACTGTCTTCTTCTGCTCATCCTTCAATGCTGAGGATCCATAGGTTCTCTTCTAAGTTGTCTTTTCATCTTACCTTGACAGCTTCACCCTCACAATATATATTTTTTGAGTTGGGATCTCACTGTCACCCAGGCTGGAGTGAGTAGCATGATCATAGCTCACTGAAGCCTTGACCTCCTGGCTCAGGCGATGCTTCTGCCTCAGCCACCTGAATAGCTGGGACTACAGACACAAGTTACTATGCCTGGCTCATTTTTTAACTCTTTTATGAAGATGAGATGCTGCTACGTACCCAGGCTGATCTCAAACTCCTGGGCTCAAGCAGTCTTCCAAAGTGCATAGGCATGAGCCATTGTGCCTGACCACACCCCTCAAAATTTTAGCACTCTAAGGATGGTGAATTGTTTTTAATTTCTTGTGTCAAATCCCATTCTTTCTTGGTCTTTAAACATGACTTTATTTTTATTTTTTTTAGTTAGCTGCTTCCTCATAGGTTATTAGTGGCTCCCACCATAATGGAAATTTTGAGACAGTAGAGACTGTGATGTCCTTCTTCCAAAGTCTAAAATAGGGCCTGGCACATGAGAAGTGCTTAATCCATATTTGTTAAATTAAAACAAAATTAAGATATACAAACAGCTGGCAGATATTTTTAAGTTTAAATGTACTTATAATCAAACAAATACATATTTCTAAAATGAAAGAGTACTTTCTTCTAGTCAAATTAGTCAACCCCAAAAGATACCCAGTTTGTGCAAGGATGTGAAGAAATGGCCAAAACTAATCTGTTATTCTGTTGTAAATCATCATCATCATAGTATTTCTAAGGGCAACTGGACCACATGTCTGTAGAACACAGCACAGGCTCTGGGGTCAAACAGAATGAGACTGATACTTGGTTCTGCTTTATAACTAGTTGTCTGAACTTGATAAGTTACTACTGAGCAACTCTAAATTTCAGTTTCCTTATCTGTAAAGTAAATCAGATTTACTGAAAAGTAAATAAATGTAATATTTAGCTGAAATATTGTAGTTTATTAAAGTTAACAAGCAGCTCAAGTAGCTACTTAAATCAATTGATTATAAACCAAGTGATGTGTTTCATTAAGAATATTCTACATAATGTAACTATGATTAAATTTTCTTTAAAATGTGGATTTAATTCATCCCACAACTATTTTGAGCACAAGACTCAGCATTTGGCTGTATGTTAGGCACATGTTCTGGCCATGGAGATAAGCAGTGGAAAGAACTAAGCCCTTTTCTCTGTACGGGAGCTGTTAAATCTGAAAATACATGGCAATGTCGGCTAGAGAAAAACATGGATAAAGAAATGGAGAGAAGACTTTTCTAATGAGGAACTTGAGAGATCTGAAAAGTGAAGAGGCAAATTATGTGGCTATGCAGGAAAGAGTTCCAGGGAGAGGGAATAGCAGAGGCAAAGGCTCTCCTGCAGGAGCACATTAGGTACTTCTAAGACACTGACAGACATCAAGATGGCCAACAAGGAGAAATTAGCTGGGAAAGGTAGCAGGAGATGAGATCTGAGAGGTAACCTGGAACAGACCATAGGGGCTATGCTGGCCAAGGTAAGGATGTGAAGTTTATCCTGAGTGATGAAGAGCCAATGAAAGGTTCAGAGCAGGGAATGACATGGTCACATTTTAATGACATAAGAGGCCTATTCGGGCTGTTTTTGGGGAAAAACAGACTAAAGGGGAGTGAGAGTTGAAAGCAGGAAGGCCACTTAGAGTACACTGCAATAGTCTGAATGAGAGATGATGGTTGCTTGGAATATAAAGTATTTCAAGAGGAGGTGGTAAAAAGCGGTCAGATTTAGGATATATATTTTTTTGTTTTGTTTTGTTTTTTGAGTTGGAGTCTCACTCGGTTGCCCAGACTGGAGTGCAGTGGCCGCTCCCGGCCGCCGCAGCCTCGACCTGCTGGGCTCTGGCGATCCTTCCGCCTCAGCCTTCCAAGTAGCTGCACTACCACGCCTGGCTAATTTTTGATTTATTGTAGAGATGAGGTCTCACTGCCCAGGCGGGTCTCAAACCCACGGGCTCAGGCAATCCACTCACCTCAGCCTCCCAAAGGCGCGGGATTACAGACTGAGCCACTGAGCCCAGCTAGATTTAGTATATATTTTAAAGGTAGAGAGCTACAAGGATTTGCTGACGAACTAGATGCTCTACTTCTAAGAACTTAACTCAAGGATTTCACTGTGGTTATTAAGAAGGATTTAGGGCCGGGCTCAATGGCTCAGCCTGTAATTCCAGCACTTTGGGAGGCTGAGGCTAGTGGACTGCCCGAGTCCGCAGGTTCGAGACCAGCCTGGGCAATTTGGCAAGACCTCAACTCTACAGTAAATGAAAAAAATTAGCCAGATGTGGTAGCACGCGCCTGTAGTTTTGGCTACTTGGAAGGCTGAAGCAGAAGGATCGCCAAAGTCCAGTAGGTTGATGCTGGGGTGGCCATGAACCTGCGTGCTAGTGCACTCCAGCCTGGGCAATGGAGTGAGACTCGAACTCAAAAAAATAAAAAGAAGGATTTAGGCTGGGTACAGTGACTCATGCCTGTAATCTCAGCAAGTGCCTGGGTGGAAGGATTGCTTGAGCTGATAAGTTTGAGACCAGCCTGGGCAACATAGTGAGATCTCATCTCTACAAAAAATGAAAGAATTAGCTAGTTGTGGTGACGTGCACCTACAGTCCCATTACTCAGGAGGCTTAGACTGGAGGATCACTTGAGCCTGGGAGTTTGAGGCCATGGCGAGCCATAATCATGTCACTGCATTCCAGCCTGGGTGACATAGTAAGACTCTGACTCAAACAAAACAAAACGATATATATATACAAGGATACAAAAAATAGGCTGCTTATAACTAGTTACAAGGTAAGTAGTTTAATAAACTCTGGTATAGCCATAAGCTAGAAAAGATATATTGTCATTTAGAAATGATTATGTTGGACATATGGAAAAAAATATTCACAATATGATAAGCGAAAATAACTGGCTACAAAACAAAATACCCAATATTAACTCATTTTGTCCAAATAAAATGCAGAGAAAAAAAGATGAAAGGTTAACCAGAAAGATAAAAGGTTAACAAAATTTCTCTATAGATTATGAAATTATATGTTTCTAACTTTCTTTCTTTGAGTTTAATATATTTTCCAAGTTTGCTACAATGCCCAAGTATTATTACTTTTATAAGAAGAAATAATTTTAAAAATTTAATATTGAGAAGACTACTTTGAACAAATATAATTATAGAAGAATAAGTACTTGAGTCCATTAATACTTTTCTCTGTTACTTACCATCACTTTTCGCAAAGTGTATCTTCTGCACCGAATGTCATCCATTAGCATCTCATAAGGGGTGAGCTGATATTCAATGGGCAAAGGGTTGTACTGTCGCTCCTGGACCTTCTTAAGCTTTACCCCATTCCGCAAATCCCTCATCACCTGTACCCAGAATCGCGCCTGAAAGATCCAGGGAGAGACATCAGAGAAACAAATTTACTAGTTTCCCCTAAATAGCTACAGTCATACAGAATAAATTAAGAGCTTGGATTATAAAACACTGAACAAACCAGTTAAAAACTATTTTAAAAATTAGATCTTAGGATATGCAAAGATAGGTGAAAAACCATTCAAGAACCCACAGGCTCTGCCCACTGAGACACCTGGCTTTAAATCCCAGCTCCACTACTGTGGCAAGTTGCATTTGGGTCCCAGTTCTTCCCTCCTCCCTGTATCTATACCCTGCTTTGTGACTCAGCTCACCAAAGAGGAGCATATTTCCTACACTCTGACTTTGAGTTTGGCTATATGCTTTGCTTGGCTACTGCAACAGTGGTGGGTGTGATGAGACCAAGGGCTTCAAAAACACAAATGCCAACTTCAAAATGCACAGTGGACCTGTCCCTTGTGTTTCTATGATGGCCATGAGAACGTCAAGCCTGGACTAGCCCGCGTTCCCAGGATGAGGATGAGACACCTGTAGACTCGTGAGTTAAAATAGGTGCTTTTGCTTTATGCTGCTGTGATCTTGTAGTGGTCAGTTACACAGCATTACTGTGGCCATAGCTGACAAATAACCACCACCTAGTAGTTATTTGATATCCATCAAGTTGCTACACCTTCCAAAGTCCTTGTTTCCTCATTAATGACAGAAAGCAGTACTTTATAACTTGTTGAGAGGATCAGAATTGATACAGTATATATAAATTGGTTATATAGTGCTCTATACATAGAAAATGCTAAAAATTATACTTTAATGTTGTTACTGTCTTTGCACACATTATTTAATCATAGTTTTCTTATCTACAAAAGTAGGTTACTTTGTCCATATACATAGAAAATGCTAAAAATTACACTTTAATGTTGTTACTGTCTTTGCACACATTATTTAATCATAGTTTTCTTATCTACAAAAGTAGATTACTTTGTCCATCATCGAGATTTTTATGAAAGTACTTAAGATAATATGAACCATATTAAATATGTACATTATCATATATAAATATATATTATTATACTTTAACCCTTTTGGTCTCCTGCTTATAACCTAAGATGTCACAATCTCTACTTCAGTGTGAAGAGTCAATCAATACAATATTTAACTAAACTATTAAAGCTCATTAAAATTAACAAGTAAATATAGTTACTGCAAAATCAAGTGCTGAGTGAAAGATACCAAACAAAAAACAATGCATACTATATGATTACATTTATATAAAATTCTAGAAAATGCAAACTAATCTATAGTGACAGAAAGCAAATGAATAGTTGCCATGTAATCACACAAAGTATGAGGAAACTTGGGGTGACGATGGGTAGGTTCATTATTTTGGTTGCAGTGTTGGTTTCATGGGTGTGTATATGTACACACATATACATCAAAACATATCAAGTTATACATTTTAAATAAGCACAGCTTATTGTGTATCTATTATACCTCAATATCTGTTAGTAAAGAATGGGCAAACAAAACCTAACATGGTCAAAAGACACCCATTCATGTCTCTCAAATCTGTATCTATTCCTATACTCTCTCATCTAATAATGGTATAATTTATCCAGTATCTTTAACCTTAAAAGTCAGAATCCTAAAATGTGCCTTTCCCTGATACCTGGATTTACCCGATCTTAACACTTCTTGACACTGACTGTCCTGTCTGCAAAGTTGTCATGCCTACCAACTCTTAAGTTTTATATGAGGGCAGGGATTTTTGGTGTCACTAGGATTTAGTATAATGCCTGAAAAACAGTAGATACTCAAAGTGTCACACGAATACACTGCAGTTATCTGTTGTATAAAACTGTCTTCTGTTCTAGACTGAGTTTCATGAAGCTAGAAATCCCATATTATATACTCTGCATCCCCAGGGCTCCAATCTAGTAACTGTTGGTAAAAGAAAGTACTACACTATTAGTTTCACACTTAATCCTGAAAACACAGTGTAAGTTTTGGTTTATACAGGAGAGTATGTTCAAGTATTAATATAATTAGAAATATTAATATTTGAAAATACCCAAATTCTCAGATATTTGGGGTGATTCAGATCAAATCAGAAAGCTTTTTAAAATGGGGACTAGATATTTCCTCAAATGGAAGACTAATACTCAAATTCATATTCCATCAATTCATACTACAGTACTTAATTAATAACCACCATTTTCATTTTATTTTTTATTTTTTGAGTTGGACTCTCACTCGGTCACCCAGACTGGAGTGCAGTGGCCGCTCCCGGCCACCGCAGCCTCGCCTGCTGGGCTCCGGCGATCCTTCTGCCTCAGACTTCCGAGTAGCTGGAATTACAGGCATGCGCTACCATGCCCGGCTGATTTTTTGATTTATCATAGAGATGAGGTCTCGCTGCCCATGTGGGTCTCGAACCCGCGGGTTCAGGCAATCCACTCACCTCAGCCTCCCAAAGGCGCGGGATTACAGGCTGAGCCACCGAGCCCAGCTTAATAACCAGCATTTTAAGAAAACATTATACTATTTCTTAGACACTAAAGAGATCAGAATGCATTTCCAGCTATCTTACCCAGTCAGCAGTTTTCAGCTCATCCAGGTCTGTGCTAGAATCATCACTCTTTTCCATTTCTTGAATCTTCTTAAGATTCTATCAGTTAAAATAAAAAGAAAATAGGCATGAAAATTTCATGAAGGTATCTTCTCAAATTAAAATTCCCAAAAGATATCTTCAGATAAAACACATACTGAAGTGTCAGTGAAGGAGAAAGTACAGAATCCATTCTTCTTTAAACTTCAAAGTCCATTAAAATGGACAGTCTTACTGAGAGGTAGAGAGAGACTGCTCAGCTCGTTTCCTTTGCAGCTTTGTGACTTTTCAGCCATAGTATCGATTCACAGTTCTTAAGCTACACTGACAGTTCTTCTTCCTCAATCTCATATTCAATCCACCACTCGATCTCTTAGTTCCTCTGTATTTTTTTTACTGAGGCGCTCTTCTTTTCACCTCTGCTGCAAATCTTTTACTCTGAACACCATTGTGTTCTGCCCAGGCTTCCAAAGCAATGTGGACCTGGTTGCTCTCCTCTCCTCACCCCATGGCTGGTCTCTTTCACTGCCTCCTCCAACTCTTCCTTCAAGAATCAGCATCAACAGAATCACCCGTTCTTCAGCGAAGTCCCTCTTCCCTGAATAAGTCAAATCCTTCCATTCTAACATTTTATAACACCATATTCCTTTCTTCTGTAGTTCTTATCAACACTGTAATTGTATACATATTTGTGCCTTCCCTCTAGATTTAATGAAGAGAATTCTATCTTCAGAAGCTAAAACAAGTATTGGCACTTTTTGATGCTTAATATATATTTATCAAATAATTTAATGAAAAAATTTCCATTAATAAAATGTCTCTTAAATGATATCAATTCAGCATTTGCAATTTTAAGAACATCTTGTTTGGTAAAATATACACTCATATTAATTCTAAACTTATGGCACATTTTTTCTAGTCATAGTATTCAATCCTAATATATTTTACTTTTTACTGAGCTGTCTGCTTGCACTTAGTATGAGTTTAAATGCACTGCATAACCTACTTTGTTTTATATGAGAATAATGCAAACTTAATATAAAACACTTCTAAGCCTTGAATTTTTAGCTTCTCAACACTTCATTTTTAATTTTTATTATTTTTTAGAGATAAGGTCTCCCTTTGTTGCTCAAGCCCGCCTCAAATTCCTGGGTTCAAGTGATCCTCCTGCCTCAGCCTCCCAAGTGGCTGGGATTATAGATGTGCACTACCACACCTGTCTTTAACATCTCACATTAACCAACTGCCAAATGAGGATAACACCACCTGCTTTTTGTACTCAATAATATAAAGGAGTATTAATACAGAAAGAACAAATTACTCTGAATACTTGAAGAAAAGGTGGTATAAATAACACTGTTTCTTCTCTCCCTAGCGGGAAAATTAGAAAAGTAAGTATTTCCAGTAATTTCAGAATATGTTAACATAATTATTTAAAAAAGAAATGTCATGTTTCCTGGTTGAGACAATGTAACAAGATGCCATGCTTGTTTTATGGCCTTGTCTAAGTCACCTTCTTTGGGTTGCCTGTTCATCTTCAGAAGAAAAATAATCACAATGTTGTTATGAGTATTAAAGGAAATAATGTGTTAAAGTAAATTATGGACACTGTTTAGCACAAAGAAGGCTCCCAGGATATTTCCCTCTACCTCCTAAGTTCAATAAATCATAATTCACTTTATCTCAGTATATATCAAGACTGAATATATAATCAATGAAATACAGTAAAGCCTTTCATTTACAGCCCCTGGGGTAAGCAACACTCAAACCATGCATATCTAGATGCTCCTGTGAATTGTCCCAGCCCCATTAGTTACCCAGAGTCTGGTTCTTTTCCTGTCTTTGCTCTGGGGGGTATTGGGGCAATAATAATAGCAGCTAACAAGTCCTGAGCCATTAGACAGCCATCATTTAACCCTAGCCACAATCTGCATTCTAAGGGAAACTGAGGCTTCTAAAGGCTAAATAACCAGCCTGGGGTCCGTCCTGGCAGTAGTGGAAAAGCCCTGAGGCAGGTGGATGTGGCCCCAGGCTCTCAGCCACAAAGTAAATCTTGCAGAAGGGACACCAGTGGTGAGAAAGTGGTCCTGCTGGCAATGTCTTGATCTTGCTTTCAATGACTTAGATAATCCTCAGGAAACAACTGGATACAGTTTCTACTGTATTTTTGCTAAAATGAACATTTATGAATATTTGTAAGTTTTGCTATTACACAAAAAAGGAGAACAGAATTTATGACTTGTAACTGGTCTTTGCAGACAATGAGTACTTAATGCCTGGCACAACACTACATCAAAATCTGGGTAGTAATCATTATTACTAAATTAGGACTCTATTTCCTAACTTTGACGATGTACTGCACTAGGATATACAGTATTTCTGATAGTCAAAATCCCTAACTTTTTTTTTTTTTTTTTTTGGCTAGGGAGCACTGTGTGTCTTTGGAAAAAATCTCTGATGATTTAAAGCTGCAATTTTCAATGCACGTCCACAACCTTGATCAAGTATCAAAATCAGAACTGAGAGAGAAGGAAACAAAAAGGAGAGGTAGATGTGTTTATTCTGTTCCTCTGGTGCGATTGTCCAGATTCTATCCCAAAAGCAATTAATGGTTTAAAGTATATATCATTCTACTGGTTAATTTTAGTTTTTTACAATCAAAATGGTGAAAGAGATGGAAGGTGAACTACCTCTGGTTCTATTTATGAGGCTAGGAAGTCACCAGCAGCAGCATTCCCAAAGCCCTGCCCTGCCCCACCCCTCAAGATAAGTATATCATCTCCTACTCTTTCTACTCTCTCCTGCCTCAGGGTGTTCTTCCCTAACAGCTTTACCTCGATCCACAGCACTATCCCCTCACATCCTTCCCATTCTTGCTCAATGTCACCTTCTTAATGGGGCCTACCTTGACCATATTCCAAGTCCCATCCCTGGACACTAGCAATACCCCTAGTTACACTTTTTCCCACAGCTCCTCCTGCCTTTTAATGGTTTAAATGGTTAACTTATTTCATATGTTTACTGTCTTGTTGCCCCTGATTGACCTGTAAACTTTATGAGAAGCAGTTTTTACTTATTTATGCATTTTGTTCACTGATAGGATTCTCAGATCTCCAGACTAGTACCCTGCATATAGTAAGTGCTTACTAAATGTTTACTCAGTAAGTTAATTAAGACACTTTAAAAAGAATGTTTAAACACAAATCTCTTCAATACCTCTTTACTAAGTGAACTTTAATAAGAGGAAACTCAATCAGAGGGAATATTATTCAAGGAAATTTTGAATTTTCTCCTCTAAATTCAGAAACTCTTGGGGGAGTAGAGGAGCGATATCTATGCCACACAGTTGTCCAATTCAGTAAAGTCTTCAACCCAAACTCATACCATATTTAAGTATCTTATCCAAGCTGATAGATAGAAGATAGATCTGACAGATAAAATAAAGAAAAATAAATGTATTTCTAATACCATACAGAAGAAAAGAAGTAATTATAGTACTAAACAGATCAGTAAGATTCAGCCAGCATCAAACTGGCACAAAATCTTACTGCCTGGGAAAATCAATATGTATAAATGGACCCACATTCTAACTACACTCCTTTTGCTAGACATAACTGAGAGTGCAGGATGGGGCTGCTCACACTGCTGAGAACCCAGTTCTTTCTGCCATACTTTCCCCTGTCACGCAAAGGCTAATCTCACAGCATGTTCACCCAGCGACCTATAAACCAAAAGATAGTGAAAGAAGCTGAAAGCATGATAAAGAAACTCATCTTTATAAGCCTATATTGCTTTAAAAATTTTCAATGGTTTCCAGGTCCTTTTAGGATCAAAAAAAGAGAAAGCAAGACAAATAAGACAGACACTGTAGAAGATGGAAGGTTTTCAGCAAGATGCAAATATTTATATTTTTTCTTAATTTCTACTGCTACGACCACAAAGATGATGACAGTAAGCTCTGAATGGGTTCCTTCTGCTCTAGTTACTACCTCATTTGGTCTATCTTCTCACTCTCCTATGATGGGCTCCCAGTGTCTCTGCTGTGGCTCTCAAATTGGGGTACCTGGACTGGGTCGCCTAGTCAAATTGTACAGAGAGGAATATGGTATAGAGCATGGAAAACAACTGATAAGCACTGACGCATTTTCCTTGAGTGAATTTTATTCACAAATAATGTGATGAAAGTTGTGGAAAACTGCCCTCCATTTCAGGATGGAGTACTCTTCTACTGCTTCTGGAGGTGTCTGCTCAAGGCTCATAATCTCTCCTCAGGAACTGCCCTCGGCCAAAGGGAGCTGCTCTGCCAGGGTTATGTCTTCCTGGGGGAGCCCCATTCCAGTCGTGTGGGTCTGTATGGAAGTACGCAGGTCAAGACCTCTTGCTTCAATTGCGAACATCTCAGAAGTGCCATCCCAGCCTCTGGGCACCCCGTAAGACTGGGCTGAGGCTGCTGCATCTGCACCATAGTTCAGAGTTTTCTTATGCTCAGTCCTGCTTCCCAAAAGCACTCCTGAATGAACCTCCTGAATTCAAATTTTATTCCTTAGTCTAATTCCCGGAGGATCGCAATCCACAAAATGGAGCATTTAAAAAATATTGTAACAGATACATATAGACATATCAGACAAAATTGACATGAGTTTTAAAGGTAAAATTCACTATTTCAAAGACATTTTGGCTTGCACTGGGCTATACATCCTTCAGCAGCCAGTGGTCACTTCTGTCTACAAACCCTCCCAATCCTTTTGAGAAAGTTTCCTTCTTTCTGTTGGGGAGTGCATCCCATAGGGTTTGAGTAGAGCTGATCTGCCACGGGATGGCTTCTCAAGTGGATGTATGGCTCCAAATCTTCCTCCAAGATGTTTCTGCTCCAAATAACAGAAAAGACTTTTGGCTGGAGTTGCTGAACTGGTAGAATGTGAGAAGAGGGCTGCAGACTGTACTAAGGGTCTATCTTAGGAAGGTAGGGGTGGGAGGAGAGAGAGAGGGAGCGCCAACCCCAATTATAGTGTTTGAGATTTTGGATCCAGCCATGCCTAAAGTTAGCTGTACCCTTAGAC